CTAAAGATAAAAAATATAAGAGATAGGAGGGGCCAAGATCCCAGTGAGAAATAAATGATGAAACACCAAGCTGACACATGCCTGGTTTTACCCACGTGACAATTGCGGACACCTGAAGTCACACATATGATTGCAGACTAAGACACTAAGAGGAAAGCTTGCAAAAAGAAGAGCAGGAGTCCCATACGTCTTGCCCTGATTTGTGTTTAGTGCTTGTGAATGCACCAGTAGAATGCTCTGGATATCTATGCGTTGGCATTTCAGGTGCCCCTGCAGGGAAATAAGTCTATTGCGTCAGCTCAATCACTGATTGGATTACAATGATTGGCCACGTCTCCACTTATCTGCCTAGCAGAAGAAATGTTGACAACTTGTTAGACTTGGATAAGTCATCTGGAGCCTCTAAATTTTTATACACAATTACAAACATCAAGAGTAAAGAGAAACAGGGGCCGGCCGAGTGGCTCAGTTGGTTAAGAGCTCGCTCAAGAGTGCGAGCTCTGAGCAACAGGGTCGTTAGTTTGATTCCCGGCCTAGGCTGAGCTGCCAACAGCTGCCAACAGGTGGCAGGATGGCTCAGTAAAAAAAAAAAAAAAAAAAACGACAGCAACTTGTCTGTTTCCCTTCCGCCGATTCCCCAGCGCTGTTCCCCTCCCCCAACTCCCCAAAAAAAAAAAAAAAAGAGTAAAGAGAAACACTGAAAAGAAGCTCACAGTAATCTAATCATCAACCTTAGCAGACAAAACTTTAAAACAATTTTGATTAGTATGTGCTGAGTAACAGAGAAAAGATGGAGAAAGCAGATAAATTCCATAGAAAAGAAGGAAATGTACATTTGAAAACTAAAAAAAAAAAAAAAATACAGCAATTAGAGTAATAACCCAGAGATGAATCTGACAGCATAAGCATAGTGTAGCAGGTTGGTTAACGGGAAGAAGGGGCCAAAGGAAAATACTCAAATAAGCCCAGAGAGGAGGAAACAGTGAAAAATAGTGAAATAAGTATAAGAGGTAATGTTGGGCGCGGTGAAACCACGTGTTAAATATATAATTGAGAACTCAGAAAAAGAAAGGAAGCAGAATGGAGTAGAGCTAGATATCAAAAATTCACCAGTGCATTTCATGTGATGAAATTTATCACACCACAAATTCCAGAGCTCTGCAAACTCTGAGGATAAATAAAAAAGAAAACCACACATAGGAACATCATAGTAAAACTGAAGAAAAAGGAAGACAAATGAAAAAAAATCTTAAAATCAGTGAGAGACAAAGACACATTATCTTCAAAGCAACAATAAGACTGACAAAGTTAACAGAAGCCTGAGTCAAAAGAATAACAAGTCAAAGAGTTGAAAGAAATAACTGGGGAAAAAAAATTCTATACCCAGCTTAAATATTCTTTAAAAAAGAAAACTATAGGGCCAGCCAAGTGGCGTGTTGCTTAAGAACTGGCTTGGGACACCAGAGGACCCCGGTTCAGATCCCATATATGAGGGCCAGTGACGCTGCCCTCTACAGCTAAGATGCTGAACAACAGCTCAACTTGGAGCTGGGCTGCCGTGAGTCACTGGCGACGGGTAGGCTACAGCCCCTGCTGCAACGGGTTGCCATAGGCTACTTTGTGTAGCCAGCAGCCAGCGTGAGCGGCCAGCAGCCGCCGTGAGCGGCCGTCCAGTAGCCAGCAACTGATCTGCCTCACCTGGGAAGAGTGCAATGATGGTGCCAACTTGGGCCAGTGAAGCAATGTCCTCCACAACTAGACTGAAGAAAAAAATGGCAGCAACTTGTCTGTTCCCCTTCCCCCAATTCCCCAATAAAAATCTTTAAAACAAAAAGAAAGAAAACTATATAAAAATATTGTCAAACACACAAAAATAATTTTTTGCCAGCAAACATGCAGTAAAAAAAGACATATAACAACCTGCTTAACAATTTTTATGATAAACTATAATAAATGAATTGTCAAGAATGCCACTAATTAAATACCAGGTGTTTAAAATAGAAATTAGATTCACCATCTTATACATGTACTTCTTTAACTGAAAATACTTAAATGTTAAAAAGCTAACTGATAGATAATACTCATCAGATAGTTCTTCCTGTATTTTCAAAATCACTTTTGCACATTAGCTCATGTACTATGCACCACTCACTGTGAGGGAGGCAGGGCAGATGTTATCTTTCCTTAATGTAAAATGAAACTAATGTTCAAAAGGTTCAGAGGCTTTTCCTCAATCAAATGAAAAACTCGAAACGAGAACACATACTTCCTACCCAGCGCCCAACATTCTGACCTTGGGGAGTAGAAAATGAATCAATAGTATCACAGAGGTCCATTAAGTTGCAAAAATGTATCTAGTATATAACAAAGGGATAATTTTGGTTTGTGGAGCTCTGGTCTCAAATTTTCTTTTAATCTTATTTTTTTAATTCCATTAACAATATTATTTTAATCCTATGAATAAGATATCATCACACTCCTGAATATTTTCAACAATCCCATTAGTATTGGCTTTCACTCATAATTCCAGAAGCCAAGATGCCAAAACCTTTTAGCCAAAAAGGTTTTACTGACCCATTTCCTTATTGAAGGCCTATACCAAAGTTAAAATGACAATGTTCTGTGATCCATAAAGCATCCTTAAGCTAGAATTTGAAGTATACCATGGAAAAGCCCATGAAATAGACTTCTGATTGAGTTCAAGATACAATTTTGCCTCAAGAAAAGTGAAGAGTTTCACTGTGTTACCGAGTTCCTATAGTATCTGTCCAAATCAAATTGGAAAAATGAAAGCAAGACGCCACCAAATAGTATAAACTTATTGCTCGTGCATAACCTTTTCTTGATCATCTCCCAGCGTTCTGACAATAACCCTCTGTTCCATGACCTTGAGTCATCACCGTTGCCTAATCTGGACAGTATACCATAACTTTGTTTTGTCTTATAATGCAACTCCATCCTCTTCTCTTTCCAAATTAAGAGTCCTTGTGCAACAAAATAGCCAAAATATTTGTGAAATATTAATGAACATTAGGAGAATATTCTCTAGTTCGAGGACATTATTTTACTTCATATGTTTTTAACAATAACCACGTAGAGCCTATCAACTACATCAAATCATATAGATTTATAAGATGCTTACACTTTCTGAGAACTTTCTTGACATACTCTAGCGCATGTGTAGTGAAGTATCAGAGCATTTTTTACCTTCTTGGATATTTTTTAAATAAAAGATTTCAGACGTAAAATATAACCTCTTATCCCTAAAGTACATTTTTTCTTACCACATAGAGGGGGTAACACATCTTACTGTTAAAGAAAATATTATTTGCCAAAAACCATGAGCCAAATACCATGTACCTCCTGCTTTGTTGCCTGATTGTATAACTGATTATCCATGTTTTATATAAATGTATTTTTTTGTGTCAGACACACCCCATCACATAAGCACATCAACAGACTGTATGTTCACTCTGCTAGTTCCAAAAACAGATTGTTATTACAATATTTAAGGAAAGCAGCCAACATGAGCAACAGGTCCTCTAAGAATCTTCATGTAAGGCTCCTTAAGCCTCGCTAAAGAGATGAATACAAGAAAGTTAGAAAGAAAAAAACCTTTTGAAGAAACAGGTGGAGCCCTTTGTAATAAGAAGTCAGGGAACAAACAATGGAATGAAAATTACTTCTGAATTACAGGAGGAAATGTTGCTGCGAATTCCAGAAATCCTGAATAAAGATAATCTCTCTTTGATCATAACGTTCATTGTCCTCTCAACCTAACATAACACAATCAAACATTTAATTATGCACTTCCCGGAAGGAGAGACAAGTGTCTGAAAGCCACAATGAGCTTTTCCAAAAGCACAACTGATATGACAGCCTCTGATACCCATCTTAGTCCCTCCACTTAATTATATTTAGTAAAACCTCCCTGTATTACCTCACCCAGCTCCTTTTCACTTCCACCACATTTCTTATTCCAATAATTTTCTATCATGTCTGTTCTGAAAAGACCTCTAACTTTATCAGAAGAGCAATCGCTGATCAAGAGTTTGCTTTGATACTTCTGTTTTTAAAAAGCTTCACTAGAATCACCTACCTTTAAAGAAAGATAAGCAATCTAAAGGAAAACCAGTAAGCATTTTAAAGGAAACAAAAATAAAATGATACTTTTAGTTACACTGAAATTGTTACTTTATCATACCCTAGCATTATATTAGACGCTGGAATGTAAAACTTGTTTGTATACCAAAAATCACCTTAGTAGTCAGGGATCGTTTACTGTACACTAAGTTCATGAATATAAAATCGCTCTTAAAATTTTAAATATTTTAGATTGCAGCGGATGAAATTCCCCCAAAAAGTCACTGAACCCCAAAATAGCAAACTTTCACTTCTTTACACCTTTTTCATGAAGTGTTTCTTTTGTAAATATATTGGCATTTAAATCAAATATTCCAACAGATATCGTCACTTCTCTGTGATCTGAAAATTGGGCTCTTCCCAAACAGAAGGAATTCATTGATTAAACGTGTGTGGAGCCGACAGGTAGCGAGGAGGCGCGGGTAATGAATGGTATGTTGGATTTCTAGTACTTATACGCAGCACCACTCTAAACTGAGATACCTGACCAAGTTCCAAATCTTTTCTCTTTAAACCCTAAAGCTCTGGAATAAAACAGATACCGATTTCAAAAATGTTTAGGAAGCAATCCTCTTGTGGAACTACTGAATAAACAAAAGAGGTTGCCAGGAAGACACGGATCTCCCTAACAATATAGTGGATATGCCTCTAACTCCATACACCTGCAACAAATAATCCTTGCGATAAGCACTTAAGAAACCGGAAAAAAAAAGAGCGAGAGTGAGTCTCCCCAAGTTTGCTCGTTCACTCATACCACTTGACTGCAGAACTTGGGCATCTATCTGCCTCGATTGGTCACTTCACTTCCTGGAGCTTAAGAGAAGCTCGCCCGGCATCTGGATAACTGCGACACTCACCCGTGGGCGCAGGACCCTCTGGCGTCTTCAGTCCCAGCGTCTTAAGTTCCACCTGCAGCAGGAACACAATGGCATCCCTCACCCAGGCGGGTGGGTGCCTGGGACCTGGATCCGACTCGACGGTTGCGGAGAGCCTTACTCAGGTCTGTGCGCATCAGCGTTAAGCCCAAGACAAAGACTGCCCTCGGTGGTCCGTGGCGCGCGCCCTCCCTGGGCAATGGGTGCCGGTCGTCCGCAATCCGGCACCGGTAGCTCGTGAGCCTGTGAAGGGGCTCTCATCGATTCCGCGCTTTTCGAGGGGTGCGGCTCGGTTACTAGGACCAAGCTGGTGTAAACAGCGAGCCGCGCACTGGGATCTATCAGGAATGACTTGCGCGCAGGGCGGGCGCAGGCGTGCCAATAGAGGTAACGACCCCCCGGGAGCCGGCTTAAATAGCCTCCACGCACCAGAGCGGCGCCGGCAGGGCGAGCCCGCCCTCAAGGAGTTGGGTCCCAGCACCCACCACGAACCCTAGCCAGGAGCCTCAGGTCCTCCGCAGACCCACTGGGCATAGGCACCTGCTGCCTGTGCTCCGGGTCTGGTGCTGTGCCCAGACCCGCTGGGGGTCAAGGACGCAGGCGCCCCGGTAGGTGAGCCGAGGAGGGTGCGGGCACGCAGTGAAGCTAATTGAATGATCTTCGCAATCACTCACCGGCTGAGGGCGAAGTAGCTCAGGCGGCCAACCGGCTGTGCGCAACGAGCATCCCGGGGCTCAGGCATCCTCCCATCCTTTGTCAATAGCGGGCGGAGCGCTCCTCCCCAGCCTGCGGACGTGCAGCTGGGTGGCGGGCAGCCGGGCTCTGGCTCTGCTTCCCAGCCCTCTCCCCTCCTCTCCTCCCCCTCCCATTCTCCGTCCCCCTCTCGCAGCCGGCACTCACTCAGCTCCCATGATGTCATCCGGTGGAAATCTGCCATGCTCAAAGACTGGAATAATCCAGCGCTCACGCGGGGAACGCAGCGCGGGCGGAGGCGGCGGCAGAGCCTTGAGGCATAACCCAGAACCTGCCGGGCCAGGAGAACCGCAGTGAAGGACAGGACAGAGGGTGGGTCTGCGGAAAGCAAGCTCCGAGGGTGTGTGTGGGCAGGGTGGGCATGGTGGGGCCAGAGCCCCAGGACGAAAAGTGAGGTCGCTGCTGCAAAGATTCCTAACTCCGTGTTTAGACTGACTGCAGACACTCAGGGTAAGGAGAAAGTTTTTTTGGCTTCTCCGCAGTTCCTGCGCCCCAGCACGGTGATGGACACCTATGTTGCAGCCCGCGGAATGACTGGAACCCCTGGGACTCCGGAGCCCCAGCCGCGGTGAGAAAGTTTAGGATGTCTAGCGGATGGAGCAGCTGTAAGGATGAAGAAAGGAACGTACTGTTTATGGACGAAATAATCTGAAACAAAGCATTGTTTTGTTTCGGAGGTGGGGATGGGGGCGGGGGGTAGTGGGGGGAACCGCGACGACCTATGAAATGAATACCGAAAAGACGCTGCTTCCAAGTCAGACGCCAAGAACAGAAATTCACCCGTGGCCCTAGTTTGTTTTTGTTTTGTTTTGTTTCTTTCCTACCCACCAAATACTATTGGACACTCTGGAGGTGACTTCCTTGTGGCCTCACCCAAGGGTTGCTTTCGCTGATGACACCATTTAAATCACAAGAGGTTCATTATGAGCCATAAAAGATGTGTTGCCAATTCTTTTTTGCTTGATATTCTTTATGATATCAATAGATGTTTTATTAAAGGAATAAACAAACAGCCTCAGTACTTTGGAAGATTCCCCTGTATTAATGGACACGGACAGACACACACACACACACACACACACACACACACACACACACATCTGAGATCCAGCCCTACATCAATCTGGGGCGGCTTCATGTTACAAACCCTCACTGTTCAGAAAACAGATCCCAACAAATGACAGTTTATGCTCTTTTCAATCAATGCTTCAAGGAGTCTCTTGAGATCCCCAGGATTACCTGCTACTACTAAGACCCCTGGGAGACACAAGTTGCAGAGGGAGAGCTCCAACAACCAGTGCTGATGAGGCAGGCTTACCTGAGAGTGCCTGGGTAGGAACACACGGACTCTGCCAGAGGGCTCATCCACCATCATCCTTGAGAAGTATAGAGAATAGGAATGGCACTTATTGCACATATGGGTGCAATTAGAAACACCTTGATCTTTGTAAATACAAAGAGAAGGGCTCAAAATAATAACCACTTGAAGGCTAGTCACTGTATTAAATATGCTTGTTACTGCATTATGCAATTGTGAAATCCACTGAGACTTATCTTAGGAAAAAGTAATAAGTGTGAAAAAGCAGGATCAGAAATTATTGTTAAAAATACATTATTTTTAACTTAATTTAAAAATAAATTATTTATATTTAAAAGGCCATGATGCACATAGTTTGGAAGTATTGTGGAAAATCTAAAAGTGTTAACTTGCATTTATTTACTTTCAAATTAAAATATTTTTGGTATCTATATATAATATACTATTAATAATATATATTACAAAGATATATTATCACCCTTGTTAACATCCTTACTTTTTTTAAAGATTAAAAAAATGTTAAGGATAGTCACTTATCTTTTCCTCCAAATCAAAGTACAAAAGAACACATAAAATGCATGAACAACTTTTACAGAAGAGTATTTTTAAATATCAACATAATGAAGATCTTTAAAACTCAGGGCAACTAGGAAATAAACTGGATGAAAGAAAACTAAGAAAGGTAAGAATTTGGTAATGTAAGCAATGACCGTCTTTGAGAATAGACAAACGATCTAATTGCTTGAAAAAAAAAGTAATTAGAACTGCTAATGATGCTATTCCAATTATATCAGAAGGTCAAGTTGTAAACCTTCCTTACTAGATTGCTTCTCTGATGCCCCATCTATCTTCATTGCCTCTGTTTATCTTGCTGTGCTTGAGCATTCTCTGGACTAATGCACAAGGATGGAGTCAAGAGGGTCATAGGGAGTCAGCAGATCTGGGGAACTTAGACAAATAACCAAAAAGATCAGAAAATGTATCCCTCAGCTTTTTTTTTTTAATCACTGCTCTAAAGGGTTAAAGCAAACTCTGTATCACATTGTACACCTTAAACTTAACACAGTGTTATATATCAATTATATCTCAATAAAGCTAAAACAAACTTTGTTTTAAAAAAAAACCAACCTGTGTCTCTCGCTTTAAGGATAATGAAATGCATTCGCATGTGATCATTTATCTGGTCCTATAGAAAAGTCTTCAGTTATATGATTCTGACATTCTTTGAGAATTAAAAATACCGTGCAGTGGTCTTCACTGTGGCCCTTGATCTTCATAAAATGAATTTACTCATCTCTACAAGAACTTTCACAGTGTGTGTTAACCCACCAAGATCCTTGCCTCTGTCACTGACATTTCCCACTTCTCATATATGCTTTTTCTGTACTTATAATTTTTAAGTCATACTGTTTGAATATTTTAAGATATTTTTATCCAAATGGGTAACTATAAATAACTAAAATAAAACATCCAATTGTTGCATGAAAAAGTACCACCATTCTTAGAAAAAAAATTACATTTGAACTCTTATCTTACAAACCTAACTTATATTCTAATCTTGTATAAATGGTGAACATATTAAGACTTGGAATTGAAGACGTAGAGTATAAATATTAACTCTGCCTCAATTATTGATGCTCTGCTGCACTGTTTTTATACTGATACATGATTCCCTTCACAGGAACAGTGACTGTTTTGGTGGGGGAAAACAGACACATTTTAATATTTTCCCTTGTGGGTTTCACAAAATATAAAAATTTTACATTCTGGTTTCATCTGAATTAATAGACTCATTAATAGCTGGTGAATTTTTAAAAACAAGTTTTTCTAGATATGAATTTGCTAACTGTTGACAAATAATAACTAATAAGCAAAACTCATATTAAGTCCTTATTATGTGCCAAGCACTGTGCTAACTGCTTACATGCATTATTAGTCCACTTAATCTTTAAAAGTACCCCCACAACATGAGTGTCTTATTAACCTCTCTTGAAGATGAGGAATTCGATGTCTAGAGTGGTTACAAAAATCATCCAGGCAACTAAACTAGAAACAAGTCAAATTTAAGACTTTATTCTATTAGCCTAAACACATACTAATAATGCCCCCCTAATAATAGCATACTAGCAACCTTTAGATCATTCTTCCTCTGAAAAAATGAAAGCATGGTTACTATGTATGTTCTATTTGGTGAGGTGGACAATATGCTTCTGCCATCAGTTACCAAATCCATCATGAATTTTATTTCCATTATCCCTGTTAATGATATGTTTCCAAAGTTATTTACAAAGAAAAAGAATCTCAGGATACCAAATAAATTTTAGTTTCTAATCTATCCTTAAATAGTTTCACACATAAAGCAAGGTGAAGTGATTTTGTACTTCAAGGTAGATCACAGTAAAATGAAATTAAAAAAAACAACGGTAAACCATTCATTTAAACAAAGACAAAGATCACCTCGGCAACTACCTTCTCTGTACAGTTAATCCATCAGTGGGGCTGGGAAGGCAAATGATATCACACATTCAAATGAAGGTTTTCTTCCCTACAGTGAATCTTAGCAGGAAAATAAATCATTTTACATATTGTAAAGGCCCCATATGTTTTTAGCATAGAAAGTATTATTCCCTGGGCACACATTTATAACCAAGCTTCTTTAAATAGAAAGTTTAGTATAGATTTTTTTTTTCAAAATCCTTTTTTATCTCACCTTTTTGATAATTGGCTGAAGTTCAGCAACTCTGCTAACAAGTGTTATTGGAATGGATTTGTGGAAAGGTTACAAGGTACACATAAGATTTTCATTCTTTCAAGGCATGCTGCGAACCTAGCTCTTTGTATTCATTTCTCATTAATGAAAAAAAACAATGTAAACATGTAATGAGAGTCTTTATATCAATAAGATACGTTAGCAGACATAAATTAATGTATTGCACACATGTGATCTATTTTGATTTTGGCTGCAGTATGTTATTCTGTCATTAAATACCCTTATTTTGTAGGACAGGTGGCCCATCCCTTGTCCTTAGGCTCATTTTGCTGTTGCTCTGTCTGTAGTGCTCGTCAGTGGCACTAACGTGATATAGAATTGGTCATAGAGAAACTGCTTTTGTTTAAAGGTAGAGGAATGGATGAGAAAAAGTTCTCTTGAAATGGACACACTTCTTGTGGAAAGGAGAAGGAAATTCTATGTACGGCAATAGGAGGCGATCAAAGAATTTATGTATGTAATTTCTCCTAAAATAAAGAAGAGTAGAGATGCTGATTACCTAGCATATGTCAGTGCTTCATTATCTTAAGTTGGATTTTTTCTTAATCAAATGCTTCTGATATTTACTCATGATAGCATGAGTGATCTGCCTTCAATATTTCCACCCAGATCTTGTGATAATGCATATACCCTCAAATTACTTCAATTACCTTGGTTGACCCCATTTATAGGCATGGAATTAAGGACAACACAAAATAAAATATTCACCACAGGGAGATAATTTTCTGATTTTTGAGTCACAGTTCTTACTCTTTACAGCAGACTATTTTCCCAAGGCTATATCTTTTAAACTATTATGGGAGAAAACACTGACAAATATATTTTCTAAGGAAAAAAAAAACCCTAACAGACATTCCTGATTATCCAAGTCAACTTTAATTCCTGAAGTACACTGAAAGCCACGTGGAAGAGCTCCGAGTATTACAACCTTGCTTCTGGACCTGACACTTTAAAGATGTCTTTTATGACTTAACCAATTCATTTAACCTAGCCACCTTATCTTTCTCATTTAGAAAAAAAAAGTTAATGATATCTATCTTAAATACCTCTCATGTGAGAGAATCTTATGAAAAAAGAAAGTAGAGTGGAAGTGTGATAACAAAGGTACGGTAAGAGTTGTAACAGATCTAAACAGGGCCTCCCCAGCTGTGTCCTGAACAGATATAGTTAACATTCAATTACGTGTTGATTTTTGTAACTAGGACAAGAAACGGGAGAAGGAAGCGGAAGAGGGGAAAAAAATCAAGATCTATTCTCTTGGGGATCTTTCCAACAGACATAAAAATGGAGCAACACAAAGAGAGCGACCTTCGAAAATATTGTAACTCCAGTTTTGCCATTTACTATATATACCTTGATCAATACTCTTAATCTCTCTGAACCTCACTTTCCCCTGTA